AATAGGATCACAAGTCCGTATCTTGTACAGCAATTAACCACTAAGAAGAATATATGCAGTGTATTATTTGTTGAAACTGTCCTTCCGATTTGATTTGAAACTGTCTCATTGCTGTTTATCAATAAAACTTTGAAGAAAAAAAAACAAAATGGATAGGATATATAGTTACATTCTCTTAATGAATAGAGGGATTTGTTCTAATAGTGTTTGTAAATAGGATATCATATCCGCATTTTGTACAGTAAATAAGCACTAGGAAGAATGTATTCAATGTGTTAATTATTGAAACTGTCCTATCAATTTGGTTTGAAACTGTCTCATTGCTATTTGTTTCTCAATAAAATTATGGAAAAAAAGAACTGTGGAGGAAAAGAAACACTTCTCCACTGTTGGAGAGACTATAGACTGGTGCAACCCCTGTTGAAATCAGTGTGGCGATTCCTCAAAAAAGTAGGACTAGTAGTTCCATTTGACCAAGGTATTTGTTTTCTTGATAAAGTCTCAAAAGAATTAAAAGCATCATACCACAGTGATATATGTGCACTCATATTTACAGCAATACAGTTTGTAACAGCTAAATCTCAGAAACAACCCAAATGTCCATCACCTGATGAATGGATAAAAAAACGTGGCCTTTTAACCTTAAGACCATACTCTTAAGTGAAATAAATTGAACACATATGCATAAATATCACATTTTCTCTTTGGAGTGAGAAACTGAAAGCATGAGTAAGACCAAAATGTATAATAGATACTGTGAAATAGGAATTAACTGTTCAAAAGTAAAGGGAATTAGGGAGGAGTGGATGGGAAAAAATAAGTGGAAAAAAGGATAAAATGGAAACAAAGCTTTGTAATTAAGGAGGGGAAGAGAAAGTTGAAGAGAGGGGAGGGGAATTGAGGAAAAAAAGGAACTAAGATGTACCATGTACAGGTCCAAATTCCCTATAATGAGTGTGATCATTATGCATATCTAAATTGTACCAATAAACTTAAAGAGAAAACAAACACAATTGTCATTTCAATATTTATTCATTTAATTTCACTGGAAAATTAGTAATTGTCAGCTATAAAAATGTAAGGCATACAATAAAGGAAGGCTATGTTTAACATCAAGACCTGAAGGACTTTTCTTTATAACTTCTGATGGCCAGATAAGTAAAAATAATTCAGACAATACACAGTAAATAGTTTCACTTAAATAACAGTGTAAATCTTTTTCAGGATAATTATTATACATTATGCTACTCTTCTAAACAGAAGACAAATTAAATTATACATACAAATATTAAAAGTCAATCACCAAAATAAAATTAATATTTTAACAGACTATTATTTATATAAAATTTTTGTTTGGTTTGTTTTCCAAGACAGAGCTCACTATGACCCAGACTGATCTTGAACTTTCAGTCTCCCTGCCTCATCATCCTGAGTTTTGGCATTATAGGCTACTGTCACCATCCCCAGCTATACACACTGTAGATAGCTAGAATCAACAATTTTATTTAATATCAAACATGTTTCTGGAATATAATTATATTTAAAATGAGAATTATCAATTTTAATTCAACCAATTCCAGTATGCAATTAGTCAAAGGAATAAAATAAGCCCTTTAAAATTAGAAAGGGTACTATTAGTAATTTTTCAATACATAAAATATTCTGATATCTACTGAAGCACACTATACAAGACATCTATGAATGGCTTTGTGGCTTATAATTAGATGTTCCTGGGAAAAAAATTAACTGACCAAAATATCACTATAATTTTAAGAAGCAAGTCCTTAATTTTTTTTATCGTACTTTTATTTTAAAGAGAAAAAAATTCAAAACAAGATAATAGGAGGGTAACAATGGTTAACACACTGAGTATTGTTATCATTAAATTATCTACTCAGAGTGTAGGATATCAGCATTTAATTGTCCAAATGATATTAGCAGAAAAATTTCTTTACAATTAATTAAGAAATTGGCAGTAGTGTAACTATTTTAACAATCTTTTGCATATGTATATTTTTTCGTTTTGATTTTCCCTTCCTTTTCTCCATTCTCCTACTGTAGTTTATATTTCCTCTCAAAGTTTTGAAGCAAGTCCTTTAATGGGATAAATGTAATAGGGCCAGAATCTTTTACCCTTTCAAAACTAAAGTATGAAAAATTTTATTACAGAACTATGAACTTGGTTTTCCCAAATCGAGGTTCCAACTCCAACATCCAAATGTTTTCAGAAGTGGAGCAGCAATAGAAAGAAATGCTTTGATGGAACTTGGAAAAGGAGAGAACTATCACAGATCTGAGCTTGCAAAACATATCTGATGTAAGAGATACCCCAAATGACTCCATTACATAACAATGCTTATATCAAAGTTTACTGGTTAGCTGAAAAGGAAGAGGCAAATAAAATGTAATATCTGCTTTAACAAGGTGGACTGAGTAATGTTAAGTGTTAGGGTGGGGTAGGAAAGAAGTCAGCCAGCCAAGAACATTTCCTCTTGGACTTTCTCCATAAACATCTATTTTAGTTCTGGACTGCTCACCAGGGTACCCATGTGATAGAGCGAGGGGACTCTGTCCTCCCACAGGATGATTCCAGGAGCCCTGGGGCACTGTCTGGGAAGGAAGATACACCTTGGAAGCTCCTCAAGTCCCATGGGAACATAGCAAATGGAAGCCAATTTATGTCACAAGTTAATCCATCCTAGTTGGACTCCTTTTAGATTGAATTATTGAAATACCAGTTGGGTACACAAACTGTAGCTAAAGAACATGGCTAAACATCTGTCTTGAAAATGCTTGTGAGGGGGGCAGAAATATCAAGCTGTCATTTATTGGCCCAATCTTTTCTCAGAATAAGGGTTCATAAAGGCCTGGAAATCCTCAGCTTCCCTTGGCCACCTGCCCAAATAAAACTTTAACAGGCACAGTTAGGCCTTTTACTGGGCTCTACAATCCCTTCAATTAAATAGCCAAGCTGCAGAGTTGTTTTATATAACCTTTGTTTCACTGGAAAATGCGGGAGAGTACTATGCTATTGTCCAGAAAGATCAAGAGTCAGCACTGGTCACCCCACCCTGAATGATGCTGCCTTTGGAGATTTAGGAAAAAAATAATGCACCAAGAAAGCACACTGTGTGCAGACCCAAGTCCTTCAGTGCTTCTCAAACTCCAAACCACTTGGTAATTACAACAGGAAACAATAGAAGTCTTTTCTATTCTAAAACCAGAAGTTTCCTAAGGACTTTGAGGATAATTTCATAGGTAAAGCAATACTGCTCCTGTAAGCAGACACATGAAAAACAACACAATGATAAGTAATTGAAAACCAATATCCACTTTTAGAGAACACATCTATAACTTTTTTAGCCAGAAGGAAAGTTTCCAAAGAACAACAAATATTTGCCTACAAACATTTAAGAACAGCTTTATATAAACATATTTTTAAAATATGAGAAGGTCTAATGATCATAGTATAGTTAACTAAAGGCTTAACTAAACTGAGAAGCACCTCCCTGTCCTCAATTTCCTTACATCTTGCTGGGTGTGTGTGTGTGCATGTGTGTACACATATACACATGGATATATCAATACATATGTGTGTATATACATATGTTAGTGGTTATTATAGTCTCTTGATCACCTTTCTCAGTGATTAATAATCTATAATATAAGCACTATCTTTTTATAATATGCCAATAACCTCAATTCTAGTGGTGACTATATATCACAAGCTGCTATCCAGAAATTTATTTTTAAATTTTTGGTTATGTTACTTTGATGCATAGCTTTATCTAGCAGGCCTATGACTTCAGTGATGCAGCTGCCTATGGGCCCTGCCTCCACCTTGATCTGAGTGAGCTGAAGGAGCTGGCTTCATTGGTTTGAACCAGAAGGATGCATGGATGGATAACACCAGAGTAAAACTACCTCCACTGATGCCACCACAACACAGTAAGGCTTCAGTAAGACCATGTAAGAAACCAAGCTTTTGAAGTATAAAATGTACACATTGCTAGTCTATATCAAGTTTCCTTGTTAGAACTCACATGGGGAAAGCTTACCTTTGTCTGAATCATGCCGTAACGTTGCTCTCTCATTTGTGTCACTATATTCGTGATGTCAAACTGTAAAAGGATGACAGTAACTTTGTATTATCTATACAAGGGAAAGACAGACCAACTGGTTGGTAAAATATTCCATATCATTATCCAGTAATATAGATGGCACGATGGGACCAGAAAGATCTCACTGCTAACCATAAGAAAATGTGCTTTTGAAAACCCTAGTAGAATGGGTAAGGTTTGTTTTAAAAGTTTTAAGGAGAATGAAAGAAATCATCATTTAAATAAGAAATGGTCTTGAATAAACAAAATCTCTAAAAGAAGTAACAACAGGTACCCATGTGTGCCTCTCTGTGTTATCCAGAAGAATAACTAAAAGCAGCTATGCAATTCTGGAAAAGCACAGAAGACCTCTAGTTGCAAGAGTAGCCATGCTGATTTTCATACACACAGCCCATAGACCTGAGTAGAGATGCAGCCACAGTGAGCCGGCAGTAGATTCCACTCTTGTGAGGAGAGAGCAGTCCACATAAGATGAGGCCAGAGTCTGGCAGTGCTAGTAACCTGTGGGCCAGTCTGACACTGAAGGCCTCAAGGAGTGCAATCAACTATGTGGGATGTGGGCCAGCTAGGGCACTGCAAAGTCCTGTGGGTATCATGTGGTAGGTACCCTCTCAATTATTACTCAAAGTATCCATAAGTTTAAAAGGCAGACATCCCTTTATTTTTATATTTTTATAATGATTTAAAAGTATACTTAAAGCCTGTAAGAACTTTATTTTTTAATAAAGAGAAGGTCCTATGTTCCTTTACCTTATTCCCCCATTGAAACCAGTCTTTTATATTATGGTATAATATAAAAACCAGGAAACTTCCTTGGGAAGATGTGCAGGACTTGCTCAGATAGCGCCAGTTTCCTAGGTGCCCCGAACACCTGTGAAGACCCACACAGCCACAGCTGCAGCAAGAGGAAGAGGTATTCTGCCACAATAGTTCCCTACACTCTCCCTTGAGACATACACCCACACCCAATTCCTAGCCTGAGAGTCAGCAAGCAAGCCGCTGTCTCTGTAGCTCTCTTATTTCAGAAGGTTTTATGAGTAGAATCATTCAACCTCTAACCCTTTACTATGTGACTTTTACTCGGCAAAACTGCCATGAGATCCATCAAACTGTTCCATGTATCCATGACCCATTCCTTATTATTGCTAAATTACACTCCATAGTACTGAGGTGCATCAGTTTGTGTAGCAACTACCTCTCTAAAGAACATCTGGGTTGTTTCTCATTTTTATTATGATACATAATCTGCTGGGAACATTTGTATACAAGTTTTTATATAACAATAAATTTTCATTTCTGGGATAAATGCCCAAGGGTTCCATTGCAAGGTTAATATTTAAGTTCAGTTTTTGTGTCTTTAACAATAGCTGATACACAATGTTCTGGAGCAGCTGTACATTCTACTGTGGGACTACAGGTAATGTATGAATAATCTAGTTGTCTAAAGCTTCACCTGCATTTGGTGCTGTTACCATTCTTTTTTTTTTTTTTTAATGTATTTAGTACAAGGTTTACAGGGTCTCACTACACAGATTGGACTTGTAGTGATCCTTCCTGTTTATCAGCCTCCCAAGCGCTGGGAGTACAGGTGTGTGCCACCACACTGTCTCAATCACTGTCTCAGCATGCCCCAGGGTCAAGGCCAGCATGGCAGGCCGGGGATCGACCATTCTTACATTGGCCTTTCTGACAAGTGTGTACAACAGCTTCCCATGGCTTTTATTTGCATTTCCTCAGAGATGTCTCTTCATGTGTTGGTCATCTACACACTCACTTTGGTGAAAAGTCTGTTCATGTCTTTTGGTTATTTCTAACTGGTTTGTTTCTTTATTACTACTGATTTTTGAGCATTTCTTATATGTTCTAGATTCATAACTTTTCTTGGATATGTGGCTTGAAAATAACTTGTCTGAGTCTGTAGCTTGTATTTTTATCTTCTTAATAGAAGGTATTTCATAGAACAAACTAGTCCAGAAAAATAAAGAAGGACATATTGTTTGGAGAAAAAGAGAGACATCTATTTTTAGATCATCTATGTATGAAATCTCAGAAATCTAAAAGAAAAAAAAAAACTCTCAAATCTAACAGGTTAGTTCAGGTAGTTCAGAGGATACAAAATCCATGTACAAAAATCAACTGCATTCATTGTGATGAACATATGGGAATTAAATAAAAATGCAATGTCATTTGTAAATGCTCCAAAGAAAATGAAATAAAATAAATCTAATAAATTCCATGTAAGATCCATATACCACAAGTTACAAAACATTAAAGAAAGAACACAAATACCTAAACAGAGAGACATCAAGTGTTTTGGTTTAGTCCTAAATGCCCCCCTAAGCCCTTATGAGTTTGGAAGGTAAATGGATAACGGGGATACTATCCTGGTAAGTTGAGTGGGCTGTTAATGAGAGGCAGGTCACTGGGGGTATGACCTTGGAGGGTGCATCTCCCTCCCTGGGTCCTCCCTTCTCTATCTCAGGGTTGCCATAGGATAAGCATCTGTCCTCTGCCTAGACCCTTCCACCTTCCTTTTCTTCCCTGAGCAGCTGTGGACTGAAACATGTATAAAAACTTTAAGCCAAATTAAAATTCTCCTCCTTTAAGTTATAGGTGTTGGGAGTTTTGTCCCAGCAATGAGAAAGTTGCTAAGATGCCAAGTTCTTGGATTGAATGTAAAGATGTCAGGTCTTCCAGACTGATCTATAGAGTTAAAGCAATTTTTACCAAAATCACAGCAAGTTTTCTGTATAGATATAGACAAGCTAATTCTAAATTTATATGGGAAGATTCAGATCCTAGAGCAGCTAACAATTTTGAAAAAGAAGAAAAAGAAGAAGAAATCACTCATCTGATGTCTAAATTACTATATATCTACAGTAAATCAAAGAATGGTACAGCCAGATTCACAGATTAATAGAACAGAATAGGAAAACAGATATAGGTTTGTATGTCCAATGATTTTTGACAAAGATGTAACAGCAAATCAATTCAGGAAGAATATAGCCTTTTCAAGAAATAGTACTATACGAGTTGGGTAATTTATAGGTCAAAAAACAAAGTGAAATAACCTAAACATCACATTTTATATATAAAACTTAGAATGTACCATAAATTTAAATCTAAAATATGCAAGTACAGAATTTTTAGGAAACAATAACAAGAATTTTAAGATAAAATCTTTAGGGTCTAGGCTAAACAATGAATCCTTAAACTTGACATAAAGGATATGTCAAGAAAAACTGACAAATGTATCTCATCAAAATTAAAAACCTGGGGGCCTGGGATATATCTCAGCAGCTTGAGTGCCTGCCTGGCAAGCGCAAGGTCCCAAGTTTGATCTTCAGTACTGAAAGAAAAAAAAAAAAAAAGGAGTAGATTCAAAATTAAAAATCTATACTTTTAAAAGAATCTTTACAAGTTATAAATAATACTGGGCTGGCCAAATAGCTCAGTAGATTAAAGCACCTGCAAGCAGTTGCAAGTGCCAGGGGTTCTATCCCTGGACCTGCCATGCTGGCCCCGCCCCTGGGGTGCACTGAGAGGACAATTGAGAGTGGGCGTGATGGCGTGAGCCTGTAATCCCAGTTCTTGGGAGGCTGTACACAGGTGGGTCACGACTAGTCTGATCTAGTAATGAGAAACTGAATACCCTATAGAGGCTTCCCTAAAATACAAATTCAAAAAAAAAAGTTATAAATAATACTGAGTATTAGGTAAATTATGGAAATGAATCTGTACTATTAATCTTTAAAATTAATTTACTGATGATAAAACAAGTTTCACTGGAATACTTGGTTAAGAAAAGACAGATTTTAGAACATGGCTGGTTGATGAAACAGTAATTTGCCTGGAAATTATGCTTCCTCAGAGATTAACTTTTATATTACTGATTGTGAATTACTAAAACCACACCTGTGTTACCTGCCAGGATGTACTAGCTAATAAAGCAAAGGGTCCACTAATTTATGTGTGATTTACAATTTTGAAAGAATTCAAAAACAAAATATTTTCTAGAATGTTGAAAGTCAGAAGGAGCTGATATTCAAGATTTCACACATAACATTAATGCTCTGCAGACTTCTTGGGAAATAGTGCTTTGATTTGCTAAGGCTAAAATCCATGCAAACTGTCAAGACAATGGTGAAAATGGTCCACACAATGTTTTCCTGGAAATTCTGGCTAATAGCCAAAAAAAAAGTTGTTTTCTAATGACAGCACAGCTTGATGAGTCTGGCTAATGATAAAATTGTACTAACTTACAAAAGTAGTAAAGTATCACTGCAATTAAATAAATTTAGAGATACTACTAACAGCAATTCTTTCAGTATATGAGAAGAAAATGTTGTGATAAGAATTCTTTTCTTCAGCTTGATTACTAAGAAACACAACTGCATACAAACTGAAAGCACTACACTGTCAACAAATACAACTTGAAGTTTAAGTTTCATGTACAATGAAAATTTAAGTCTTGTGTATATGATAGTCTGGCAGTAAATCTGTAATGACCAAGAAAAAGAATATGATGTAGTTACACAGACTAAGGAATGTCAGAAGATAAATCAACACGCTGCTTCACCTCGAGTCTTGCTCACGGTAGGCGTTTGGGTCAAGGAGATGAAGCCCTCAGGAAGGGATAATACTGAGATCTTGCCCTTGTGGGGCTGCATTAGTCACCACTGGGCTGTGCTGTTAGACAGCAGTCTGAGCCCTGTGCTATCTCTCCGGGCTGCACTTGCCTCCCTTTCTTTTTGTACCACAAGCTGAAACAGCATTAGGCCCTCACCAGATATGCTGCCTGATCTTGGACTTCCCAGCCTCCAGAACTCAGAGACAAAATGAAACTGTACAATAAACTTTTCTTTCATAAAAAAATTCTGCTACCCTAACAGAAAAGGTGCTAAAAGAAAGCATGCCCACTGACCACGCTGTGCTTACTCTCTGCTTACAGTTAACTTGCTGCAGATAATAGGCATGTTGTGGTTAGTACAGTTTGTGAGGAGACTGGAGAAGAGTATTAAGAGAAGAACATGTAAGAGAGACCATCAGGCAAATGCCAGGAGGCTTGACCTAAGCTTCAGAAAAGTCAGACTGCTCCTCAACTCCCTACTTGATGTTATCTCAGGGGGAGAGCTGGGTCACAGCACCCTTTCCTCTACCAGCAAGGAAGCCTTCTGCTATGGGGGTGACTGTGAGGGCAGAAGTTTGACACTTGTTCTGATAACAGCATTACTCTGCCGAATGCGCTGCCTCAGCAAATGTCTCAACTATGCCCTCGCTGCTGAGCATGAATCCCCATGATGTAGTTCAGTGAGTCCATCTTTTGGGCCACAGGCTTAAAGTTGCATTCCTAATCATTTAGTCCACAGTAAAGAAAACAGTGTAATCACCCACCAAATTTAGGAAGAGAGTGAAGAGATGTTAAGGCTTGACATATCCACCCTTATGTTATATACAAGAAAACTGGGTTTCATTCAGGGTGAGCAACTTATACAGTCACTAAAATGCAAAGCATGTAATATAACTGGGTCAGACCCAGGAACATCTCATTACTGCTGAAGTCATCAAGTTTTTTCACTGGGCTCACATACTTGTTATTTCTGTCATTAAAATCAGACCTTCCTCACTGACATTCTCCAGCAAGACATTAGAAGCCATGTGTGGGAATGGAGGAAAGAAAAATGAAAAAGAACTCTCATTTCCTGAGTATGTGCTGTATCCCAAACACTATCCTAAGCCATTTATTTCCATCCCACTCTAATCTTCACAACCACCCAGCAAACTGCAGCAAGCAGTATAAGAACCAGGGTTCCCAAATGCCCTGCTTCATTCATGTAACAGTCTGCTAAAAGTAGCACACTCACAAATAGCACCAAAGTCCCTGCTTGATGGCACACTTACTAAATAGTTCTTTTCAATGGCACAGAATGCGACGTCTGCACATATGAACACCCCAGTCCGGCCAACACCAGCGCTGCAGTGCACAACCATGGGCCCTGTGCAGTGGCTCTTCCTCACATACCGGACATACTTTATGAAGCAGTCTGTTGAGGCAGGAATCCCATGGTCTGCCCAGTTAGTGAACTGTAAGTGTTTCACAGTGAGACTAGTTCCTGTCTGTTGGGGAGAGACAGAGTTACTTATTTCATAGATTAGCTCATTTGAATTTCTAACATACCAGTAGTAACAGTGGCTATATAGTACATATTACACAGGTATTATGTAGAGCATTCAGAGAGTATTCAAACCTAATTTTGATGTTTATAACAATTCTGGAAATTTCCAGGTTTAGAGAATTTTTCCATTTTATGAAGTTGAACACAGTAGTAGTAAAAGAAAGAATGCTAACAGGTGACACAAATCAAGTACCTACCACATGCTAGGTACCATGGTGGAATCTCATATGAATTACCTCATTGGATCCCTCATCAGCCCTATGAGGTCATACTATTTTATACTCATGTAACAGATTAGGAATAGAGTCTGGGAGATGTATGGCAATCGAGCAGGCTCACTGTTTAGAGCTGGGAATCTACTGCAGGCTTCCTGCATCCTAACCTACCATCTTTAACTGTACCATGAAGCTTTAAAATTTCAAAATAGTTAAAAAAGGTAGGCTGACACATTAGGCATAAGGCCCAAACCCAGAAATCACTCTTAACTTTTATATGATAAGCCAAGTTTAATAAGAACAGGCAGGAGCTGACCAGGGAGACTCTGAGCTCCTCTAGTGGAGTGGACAGAAAGGCTAAGAACCAGAGTAGGCTCCAGCCTACTTGAAATGGAGTGATAAAAAAATTCCTCAGGAGAAACAGATAAAACACTTGGGCTTTCCTCATATCCTATCCCAAAGAAATGTTACCTTCCCCCAAGCAGGTGGTTTTCTGGACTTGAATTGCAGTCTTTTGGGGACTGAGCCCATGGCATCCTCTCCTGCTGCAGACAGACCACTCTCTACACTCACAGGTGCCAGCTCCTTATACATCATCTTCCCCTGTCTCCTTGTCTCTCTCCCTGCCTCTTTATGAACATGTACACATGCTGCTGGTTGTATGCTCTGCATAACCCTAATAAAGGATCCTTCATTAAATCCTCCATTATTTAACACAGTTTTCTACCTTACCTGAAATCATAAAGCTAGGAAACTCCCAAGTCACTTTGTGTACTGATGTTTTCTATATGTTATAATATTTGACAATGGCAAAAATGACCCAAGATCTGCAAATAGCAATGGGGAGGAGGAGGCATAGTAAAAACATCTTATAATACCAAGTAGAAAACTCAAATTTTAACCACTGGTGCATGAAGTTGAACAACAGACACAATACTTAAAAATTTCATGGAAGGGTACAGCTGCCATACCCCATACATCAGCAGTTAAATGAATCCTACTACCACTGACCTCTCTAGATCTCCCTGACTTCCTGATACAGTACCTGAAGACAGAGCTCTTGGTGAAGACTTTCTGACTATGAACACCACATGGGCCTCAGCCCAAAGACCACCAACACAGATGCCAAAGCTACATAGGCTGACTTTGAATCCTTGGAGGCAGACCCTCTGTGCCCCACACTTGACCTATCTTCTTTCCTTCTCTATTAGACTGTAAGTGCTCCAAGAATAACAACTCTGCTCATCGTCTCTGCCCAGGAAAATGGGAAGTATCCAGGACACCCACCACTTCTGCCATGCATTATTGCTTTATTGTATAAAAAGCAAGGCTCTTCATATCCCCTGACTTCCACTTCTCACTGTGATCGTGCTTTGGCCAATCATCCACATTCACTGAGGGGTCCACCCTTATTTCCTCTACAAATTCTGACATCTTCAGAGCACACTCATGTTTGAGCAGCCCCAAAGATACTGTGACCTCACAATACTTTTATTTCTTGTGCAGGGGAGACCACTCCTTTCTCCCAGTCCTCAAAATGATGACTACTCTTAGATTTACTTCACCTATAAGGTCTACCATCAAACATATTCCCTTTCTCAGACTCCAACATCAGTTTATAAGTAGAAGCTCCTATACTACACTGTGCTTCACTTTAAGCCAACAGTAACATGGCCAAGCGCAGTCCCTTGTAGCCTCTATTTATTCCTCATCGACTGGTCCTCTCATGCTAATAACATCTCTTAAGCAACCAGACTTCATGGCTGATGACCAGAGTGATTTTCTCACCAAACTGTTGACTCCTTTGATCTTTTGAACTTTGCCACATGTACTAGATAGCATTCTACAATGCATCAGTCCTATGATCTGTGCTCAGGAATCCCATAGTTGTGCCACTGGGAAGAAAATAATCACATGGATGTCACATGCATATTTTGTTGCTGTTACAAATTTATGGGCTCAATCTTAGCATTGCTTGTCAACTCTTTTTTTGGTCATTGTCTGTGCCAATCAACCTCTTTGGTGATGACTCCAATCTTCAATGGCTTTCTTCAGTGTTCCTATTCAACTCCTACCCCTTTTTGCTCCTATTGAACACATTCTATTACCAACCTGCTAATCCAATCCACTGAAGTGATGTAACTCATCACCTCCTCAAATAATTCCATTACTATTTTCCAAATCTGTTAAAGCAAGGAATCCATGAATTATTTTGAACTGTTGCTTCCCAATAGAACATTCTACAGTAATACAAATGTCCTATAGCTGCACTGTGAGATATGGCAGCCACTAATAGATATCATTAACAAGCATTTAAATGTTAATGCAGGTGAGAAACTAAATTTGTAATTTAATGTGAGTTAAATAACTTATGTGTAAACTTAACCAGTCAGGTGCAGTACCACATTAAATAGCATAATTTTCAGTCCCTCTTTATATCATTGTCACAAGTCACATGTAAATCTACCAATTTTATCTGCAAAATACTTGTTGTTCTGTACTACCCATCCCAATGCCAGCCAGTCTGGTTGACCATGCTATTCACTTGGCTAAATTTTTCAATTACTCCAAATATTTTTATTATAAAGTTCATACTTCTTTGTTGAAATAAAACATTTCATATTTTCTCACTGGTTCCTACCTAACTTCTATAGCTTCATTTTATCTCTCTTTACTACCTGTCATGTAAATATTACATTCTTGAAATAAATTCATATAGATAGCCCATGCAACTTTATACTGGATCATCTATGTCCCTTTTCTTTTCTATCTTCCTCATTTTGGTAATTATCAACTCAGACATCACCTCTCCCAGTGAACATTACCCCATGTATTCTATGGCACTGAGCACAGCAACTCAAGTGTCAAGTGAGTATATCAAATCCTCATACTCAATATTAATAGTGCCCACGGGGGCCGGGGAGATGGCTCAGTGGAATAAGTGCTTCCCTAGCAAGCGCAAGGGTCTGAGTTCAATCCCCAGTTCTGAAAAAAAAAAAAAAAAAAGTAGCGCCCACGGCTGTTGAGTAGTACATGTTAATGACTTAAAACATATCTGCCACACTTGCAAAAACTACAAAAGTACATCACTGGATGAGACAACTTTTAATATTCTCTCTCTTTAATCTACCTCTCATTATCAATTAAAAATCTTTTTTGTGGATATCGTATACGGAGTAACTACTTTGAAGATGATACACATTGTTAATGATTAACTATTATTATTTTGTTACTGTTTTGTTGTGAAATTTTGTCATAAAAATTTTGGATTCAGTGATAGTAGAGGTGACAACATCTTAGTTTTTGCTACCAGGATGAAATAAGAAGTTACTTTAAAAAAAAATCTTATTAGTCAATGCCCCCTCCTACTTTTAACTTCTAGTCCTAATATATCTACTTAGGCAATAAAACATGTATCTAATATCAGTTTTTAAACACTTACAGATTTATTTACAACTTGAAACATTCGGATGATAAAAAATGCAAGTATCTGGTAGTTCTTCAGACAGATCCGAAACTGTGTCAATTCCAAAGGCTCCTCTTGAGAAATGGGCCAGTAATTGTGGCATTTGGTAATTCCATCTTCTATATTTCTGGTTACCATAGCAATAACATTAGAATTATGTTCAAAAACCATTTGCCAAAAGTCATCTGTGGTGTCTGGCAGTGGTCCTTGAGTAGCAATATAAAAATATTGTTCTCCATGATTGATTATTCTAATATAACTGGCATTAATGTAGTCCGGGTTTTTTTGAAGAACAACACGTGTTGAATCATCTATTACAGAAACAGAAACATCTGATAAAAGTGGAAGATGTAACATACCCAGTCCTCAAACAGATAACTATGTATACTTCTTTAACCAATACAGAAGATGGTATAGGAAATTCTATTCAGAAGGATTGAGTTCACGAGTTTTAATCCTTCCCTCCACGGAGTCTATTGGTATGACCTAGAAGATATACAATTAAGGAAGAATGTTTTTAGCACCCAGGCATTTGCGAGTTTCCTTAGATATGGTACAGGAAGGCCTACACCTAGGAAGGTATGTGCTGGAAGGTATATATAGTTTGTAAAAGGAGAGAACAAAGGAACAAAGGAGGAAATTCTGAGGCAGTAAGTAAATGTCATTTTCCTCCAAATCTGGCAAGCCTGCAAATATACAGCAGCAGGGACCAGGGACTTTGATCATTGCTTTGGAGAACCTAGGGTTAGTGGAACTCCACCAGTTGCTCTATACAAGGCAGCCCTCACCGGTTAAAATAGTATGCTAATCAAAGCAAACATATGGTGGCAAGAGGAGGATTCGAGGGCATTTGCTTCGTGCTGCAAGGATTTGTCTAACATGTATTGTTACAGCAAATATGAGAGGCACAACCTAGCTGCTTGATCCACTAATAAACCGTGCTGCCCCGTGGAGCATTTTCTTCACTTGACATAACCATCTGGATTTCCATTGCTAGCACTGATCTCAAGTAGAGAAGTGACCAAAGTGAGGAGGTCCCTTCCTTGACATGTGCCCTGACCAATCACCCCTTCTAACACTCAGGAACATGTGGCCCCGTCATGTATCAAATATGCTATGTAGCAAATATCTGAACAAGGTAACACAATTTTTGACAGAACCCCTTGCAAATTCCAACATAGCATGCAGAATCCTTCTCTTGTAAATATGAATGAAATAGGAAAAACAACTGCTAGACATATAAATACCTAACATTCCAAAAAAGAGATCACTCTGAAAACTTGCAACAAATGACTTGCTGTCCATAAAATGGAAGAATGCCTTAAAAACTCCTAATTATATTTTAAATAAAATAGAAACATTATTTATATGTATAATAACAAAACATATTGATGTATGTTATAATATTAAATTATAAAGGAAGTGACAATAGCATTGTGAGACCCGTGTTTTTGTGTGTATGTAGGAGATATCATCTGATAATAAGTCTGATACAAGTATCCAGCAAAATATTAGCAGAAGTTAGTTTATTATTTAATTAGTGAGTATGATTTTAAAGCAGAAAAACGTGTCTTAATTTTGAAAAGGAAAACTGTGAAAATTAAATAACCCAAATTAACAAATGCTTGCTTTAAGACAAAAAACACAATTACCAAATTCAAATTCCTGAAGTAGGAAGGGAACAGAAAAAACAAATCAAAGATTTAAAAAATTGGCTCAGAAGTTTTTCTTAGAACTAAAAAAAAATGACAAAAATTTCAATAATGATTTAAATGTTAAAGGACAGAGAGCCTATAGGGGCAATACAGAAAATGAATTTCAGAGCAAAGCGTACAAGGCACAATGTAAAACAGCCCAAATAATCACAGAAAAGCCTCTCAAGTAACATAGTAAGTGACCAAATGCAGTGTAGACACGTTCACCAGGTGATCTGTGTGCTTCTCCTCATAAATGGCAATCCTTTAGACACCTTCAGATAAGAAACCTTATAGGGTCTGGACCTGGAATGTCTCTTGAAGCCTAATGCACTAGGGGCTTCATATCCAATACACCTGTGTTCACAGAGGCACTTTCAGAAAGCTCTAATTTTACCAGTGCATTAATACATTGATGGATTAATAATCTAATACAATTATTGAAGGGAGATAGAAATTTAACAGTGGAAAGGACAGTCATACAGGTGTTGCCTTGAGCACTACAACTTGTCATCTTCAGCTCCTCCTCCCTTTCACTCTCCCCCTCCTGGTTGCCCTGAGGTGAGTAACTTTCCTCCTCCAAACTCTTTCTCTATGATGATCTGCTCCTCACAGGCTCAGAATCAACAGGATAATCATGAACTGAAATTTCTGCAACTGTAAGCTAAATAAATCTGTCCTTAAGTTGATCTAATCAAGTATTTTATTGCAGCAACAAAAGCTGACTACCACAGAACCTGTTCTGAATTATTTGTTTCATGTAACAGGAATTCTAGACTTCACAGTCCCAAAAGATTCTTATAATTAATGACTCTTCAATTTCAATTTTCAGAAAGAAAGGACTCACCCAGTGTCAAGCAACATTAAGAGCCACTAAGAGGCGGAGGATGTAGCTCAGTGGCAGAGCACCTTCCTAGCAAATGGGAGGCCCAGAGTTCAATCCCTGGTACCAAAAAGAAAATAGTAAAAATAAGACCAAAAAAAGTCCCTTTGGAGGAGTGTATGGGAGAGCTTCCATGCTCCCCTGCGCCCGCTGGACCCCTCTGTAACCAGCCCAGGCTCAGCGTGAGTAAGAACTTCTGCCACATTCTTGGGATCCTTCCACCCCTCCGGACCCAGCCCAGGCCTGGCTTGTGAGTGAGAACTTCCACAGTGTTCTCTGTGTCCCTCTAGACCCCGCCCAAGCCCAGGCCTGGCTAGTGTGTGGGAGAGCTTCCACACTCCCCTGTGCCTGCTGGACCCCTCCGGACCCAGCCTAGGCCTAGTGTGTGAATGAAAACTTCTGCCTCACTCTCAGGGCCCCCACCCCTCCAGACCCAGCCAAGGCCTGGCATACAGGCCTGGGGTACAACTGCAGCTGAAGTCCCTGCAGGGAGGCTAGGGGCCAGAAACACCCACCTAATGCAGGGGCAAGACATCTTGCCAGAGGGGCACAACAGGTTCACTTCCAAGAGATGCAGCAGGAAGAAGCTGAGCACAGCAGCCAGACCCAAGCCAAGCACAACTGGAGGAATTCAAACTTCATAGATCTATACCCGAATTTCAGTAGGTGCTAAGGTTATAACTGCACCAAAGCTCTACACCAAAGGTCAGAGGACACTGCTATACAAAATGACAAAGGGAAGGAGCAAAATGCAATCTCAGACCCCGATCTCACCCAGAAAAAGTGCAGAAGACACTAGCACAGAAGAAATTGGGAATAACACAGCTGGAACATCTGAATTAATAGCATCTGAAGGAAGAAATAACTACAGAAAGAAATAGAGGAACTCAGATCAGAAATAACCTCTGAAGTAAAAGAATTAATAATTACTTCTCAAGAAGACACTGATAAAAAAAATAGAGAAGATTAGAAAAACGATGGAATCCTTGAATGAGCAATATAGGAAAGAAAATACATCGCATGAAGCAGAGTAAAAGAGATATAGAGGAACTTAAAATCTCAACCACAAGCTTGAAAAGCATTTGAGTAAAAGTGAAAATAGAGTTTCAGATGTTGAAGATGCCATGGCAGCTAGTGAAAAGGTGAGAACAGATCTCTTGAAAACAACTAGGATGCAGGAAAAAATAATTCATCACCTGCAAGAGGATGCAAAGATGAGCAATATGAGACTAATCAATGACAAAGAAGGAGTCAATAAAAATGATATAAAAAGAATATGGGCAGAAGTAATAGCACAAAACTTCACAGATGTGGGGAAATAATCTGACATTCCAGTAACCAAAGCATACAGAACTCCAACTAACATCAACTAATTAAAAACACACCAAGACACACAATAGTCAAGATCCCAGAAATCCAGCACAAGAGCAATATACTGAAAGCCCCTAGAGAAAAGAAACAGATCACATTTAAAGGAAACCCAAATAGAATAATGGCAGATTTCTCTACATAAACCATGAAGTCAGGAAGAGCATGGAGCAGAGTACTCCAAGTACATTTTAAAACAAATTCCAGCCCACATTACTATAACCTGCAAAACTCTCTTTCAAGTTGGAGGGAGAAGTGAAATACTTCCATGACAAAGAACAACTAAAGAATTTCATGATGGCAAAACCAACCTACACAGACTATTGAAGATGTTCTAGAGAGGAACCAAAATGATCAGAACTCCATGAAAAAGAACAGAAGGAACCCACTAAATAGGGCAAACAAATAAACACAGGAGAAAAAGGAGTAAACAATACCAGGTAAATAACATGTCAATCATAAATCAACACATCTCAATCATAACCATCAATGTAAATGACTCAATTCACCAGTTAAGAGAAATAGATTGGCACAGTGGATTAGGAAACAAAATCCAACAATATGCTGTATATAAGAAACACACTTAACTCAAAAAGACATTCATAGGCTTAAAGTCGAAGGATAGAAAAAAATACTACATGCCCCAGTACCTCAGAAAAAAGCAGGGGTAACAATCCTGTTTTCAGACATTCTCAACTTCAAACCAAGAATGATCAAACAAAATAAAGAAGGCCACCATATACTGGTTAGGGGAAAGATTCAAGAGGAAGAGGAAACAATCATAAATATCTATGCACCAAACACAGGAGCACCCAAATATATAAGACAAATCTTAACGGACATGAAAAATCTATTATCGAAGACCAGAATCTTAACAGGAGACCTTAATACCCGCTTATCCCTAAAACAAAGGTCAAGAAGACAAAAAATTAGCAAAGAAGTAGCAGAACTGAACCAGAGCTTGGAACAAATGGACTTGGTGGACCTATACAAAGTGTTCCACCCAACAACAGCTGAATACACATTCTTTTTCAGCTGCACATGGGTCATTTTCTAAAATAGACCACATACTATTCCACAGGTCATGCGTCAGTATATGCAAGAAAACAGAAATTGTCCCATGCATATTATCTGACCACAGTGCAATGAAACTGGAAATAAATGACAAAAGAAACCAGAAAAAAACC